ATGGGAGTTGTAGGCCAAAAACATCTGGAGGGCTGAGTTTGAGGAAGCCTGGGCTAGAACATATAAAACCCAACTTCATGGTGCCATTTGGTTAGAAAACTTACCTGGTGACCTTGGACCATACTCTATCTCTCAACCTACCCTACTTCACAAGGTTGTTCCTCCTTGGAACCACTGGAGGAAAGATGGGCTGTATCAGATATAAATAAATAAGGCGCATTTGCTTTCCTCTCCTGTAGGATTATGCAGGAAAATACGTTAGCCAATATTTCCTTCAGCTGCTATTTAAAAATAAATAAATTACTTCCTTAAAGGAGAAATGACAGTCAAGTAAGACTGAAGATACTTTTCGACTTTATTTAGACTTGCAATCTGATTTCGCATTGTAAAATACTATCTTCTGTGGTTGCAAAACCCGTCACTCTTAAAGAAGCAACAACAGTCCAGAAATATCTGCACTGTTAGGGTACTATCAGGTGTTTCTTTTTACGTAGGAGGTAAAATGTTCAGTGGTATTGTCTTTGTCTAGTCTTTCCCTTTAGACATAATTTTAATGTGTGATACTATTCGTTTGTAAGAAATTGCATTTGTATTTTGTCAAATATGCATGGCTCCCTAGCTTTAAAGTTCATTTATTTGTGTATAGCAGGGATGCAAAGAGTTGCGTTCCCTCTTCAAGGGACCGTCTGCCTGTGATGGGTGGGAGAAGATGCAAAAAGTGGGAAGAGCAATGAGTGTGAACTTTGTATGATAGACTACATTACACACACACACACACACACACACAGACCCCTCTTTCCTCCATCCAGGCAAGCAAGAAGCATTATCAGAGTTCAAGGACAGTATTCTGCTCTGGTCAGACCTCACCTGGAGTACTGTGTCCAGTTCTGGGCACCACAGTTCAAGAAGGACACTGACAAACTGGAACGTGTCCAGAGGAGGGCAACCAAAATGGTCAAAGGCCTGGAAACGATGCCTTATGAGGAACGGCTAAGGGAGCTGGGCATGTTTAGCCTGGAGAAGAGGAGGTTAAGGGGTGATATGATAGCCATGTTCAAATATATAAAAGGATGTCACATAGAGGAGGGAGAAAGGTTGTTTTCTGCTGCTCCAGAGAAGCGGACACGGAGCAATGGATCCAAACTACAAGAAAGAAGATTCCACCTAAACATTAGGAAGAACTTCCTGACAGTAAGAGCTGTTTGACAGTGGAATTTGCTGCCAAGGAGTGTGGTGGAGTCTCCTTCTTTGGAGGTCTTTAAGCAGAGGCTTGACAACCATATGTCAGGAGTGCTCTGATGGTGTTTCCTGATTGGCAGGGGGTTGGACTCGATGGCCCTTGTGGTCTCTTCCAACTCTATGATTCTATGATTCTATGATTCTATGATTCTATGATTCAAACCAGGCAATAACACTCAGGTATAGGTAAAGGAAGCCCTGACCATTAGGTCCTGTTGCAGACGACTCTGGGGTTGCGGCGCTCATCTCGCTTTATTGGCCGAGGGAGCCAGCGTACAGCTTCCGGGTCATGTGGCCAGCATGACTAAGCCACTTCTGGTGAACCAGAGCAGTGCACTGAAATGCCGTTTACCTTCCCGCCAGAGCAGTACCTATTTATCTACTTGCACTTTGACATGCTTTCGAACTGCTAGGTTGGCAGGAGCAGGGACTGAGCAACAGGAGCTCACCCCATCACGGGGATTCGAACCACCTACCTTCTGATCGGCAAGTCCTAGGCTTGTGAGGGTTGTGGCCTGGGGAGAATTCTGAGGGTCAGTTTGGCTTGTAGGTCTGAAGTTCTTCATTCTGAACCATAGGTAAAGGTAAAGGGACCCCTGACCATTAGGTCCAGTCGTGGCCGACTCTGGGGTTGCGGTGTTCATCTCGCTTTATTGGCCGAGGGAGCCAGTGTACAGCTTCCGGGTCATGTGGCCAGCATGACTAAGCCACTTCTCGCCAGAGCAGTACCTATTTATCTACTTGCACTGGCATGCTTTCGAACTGTTAGGTTGGCAGGAGCTGGGACCGAGTAACGGGAGCTCACCCCGTCACGGGGATTCGAACTGTCGATCTTCTGATCGGCAAGCCCTATGCTTGTGAGGGTTGTGGCCTGGGGAGAATTCTGAGGGTCAGTTTGGCTTCTAGGTCTGAAGTTCTTCATTCTGAACCGTACACAGCAGCTAAATAAATATGCACTGGCACCTGTATGCAAACTTCTGAACATGACTTTAGGCAGAGGGTCTCTTCAACGACACAAATCCATTGGGATATATCCTGTTGAACTCTTTGAGGAAGCGAGGATGTGCATGTAAATAAATATGTGAACAAACAAGCAAATTGCAGCGCTACCATAAGATAAAAACAACAGCTACTTCACAAGCTCAGCTGAAGAGAACTGCATTCGGGAGCTCAAATACAACACCCACAAACCAGCTTGCTACATTAGTGGCCTTTGCAGTAAGCAAACGCTAAAAGCTATTTATTCCAATCCTATCTGATGTACTTTTGAAGTTTTGCCTGCCTCTTTTATGTAATTCTCTTCGCTTTTTTATCACCACTTTTTTTAAAAAAAGCCCGCAGTTGAATGCATTTGATTTTCAGCTTCCCCCGTGCCAATTCTATTAGGGTAATAATAATAATAATAATAACAATAAAAGAGGAATTAATTTGTGTACCTTTGAAGATGGTGCCTTGGCATGCCTTCAATTATTTTGCTAGAATGAATGTTACAATAAGAAGGAGGCCGAGGCTCAGGACTCAAAATTTCCGCTTACTTGTGGTAGGGACTCTGGAGTTTGAACTGGGTTGAAAGGCTTCTGAGCTCCTGAGACCAGTGGATTCTTCAGTCCTCTTCAAGCACATCTGCACATACAATTATTTGCTGTACACTCCAGGCTATGACTCAAGCTTTCAGCATTGTGGAGGGATTAAGTGATTCTTATTTTTTACATTCACCCCCCCCCCCCAAAAAAAAGAACCTTGTAATAACAGCCCTTGCAGGAAAACTGCTCCTCTGTCTTTCTGAAATTGTGACACATACCTGCAGATTTCACCCAATTCAGTCCCAAAATAAAAATTATAAATATATAAAGTGCCTTGGACCACAGTGAACTGTTTTCTGAAGTGTTGAATCAAGGTCTAAACCAAATCATGTGGTCTGTGCACTTCCTAGCATGTGTGCACATGAATTGCACATTTTGAATTTCATCAAATGCTACTCTCTATTCTTGGCACCTAGTATCTGATGTCAGGGCATAGCATCCTTCTGAAATTGCCAGGGACCAAGCAGGATCTGCCACTCTCTGCCATCTGCTATGGGTCTCCCTCCAAACAGTGGACCGAGACATGAGTTCCCATATTAATTTCTCACAGTGCCTCCAATGAAGCATCACTTTGTAGCATTGAATTGAGCAGCGGTTCCCAGATCTATGCTTGACGGTTAGCCAATGTTGATTGGAATGGCACTGATGTCCTCCACCACCCTAGGTAAGCTTGCTGGAGCGAGGAGACACACCAAACCTTCTCAAACCTGAGCCCAGCCTTGTCAGTGTTCAGTTTTCTAATGGCACCAGAAGCTAAGCTCATATCCTGGGGGCTGTACATGCTATCCCTGGCTCCCTCCCTCAATGCCCTTGGTTATTGTCCATCTGTCTGATTCCACAGAAGATAGGACATCTCTCTGTCTCTCCCTCTGACACCCACTCACCAGTGTCACACCCACTCTGTGCTCCAAATTCCAAGTAAAGTGTACTCATTTTGTCCTAATGTTTGGAACATACATGAAGCTGGGACTGTTGGGAAGAAGACCAGCTTGAGAGAAACTTGATGCTTTGTCCATCCAGACAAAGGCAAACTCGGCCCTCCAGATGTTTTGGGACTACAATTCCCATCATCCCTGACCACTGGTCCTGTTAGCTAGGGATCATGGGTGCTGTAGTCCCAAAACATCTGGAGGGCCGAGTTTGCCTATGCCTGATCCAGAGACTGCAGGCCCATGTCTGTGTTGTACAAGGCAACCAGCTCTATGCACTCAAACTCATTATCCCAGAGAGTTAGGGGCTATTGAGAGCTGGTGTCCATTGGGACTGGTAGGGCAGAAGGCAGGGAGATGATCATTGGGTGGAGCCAAGGCCAATGGCAGGAACAGCCTCAACCAGTAAGAAGATGGGGCGGCAGGGGCTGGCTGAGAGTACACTGCGGTTGCCCCATTTGCCCTAATGGGTCAGCCTCCATTGTGTAGGACAGAAGGCCTATGTAAGGCATACAGTGGTTCCTCGGGTTAAGTACTTAATTCGTTCTGGAGGTCCGTTCTTAACCTGAAACTGTTCCTAACCTGAAGCACCACTTTAGCTAATGGGGCCTCCTTCTACTGCCACGCCGCTGAAGCACGATTTCTGTTCTCATCCTGAAGCAAAGTTCTTAACCTGAGGTACTATTTCTGGTTTAGCAGAATCTGTAACCTGAAGTGTATGTAACCTGAAGCGTATGTAACCCGAGGTACCACTGTAGTTCTGTAACATTCGCTCCCTGCCCTCCTGGTACTATAATGGTAGCATCACAGTGCATTATATAATGCTTTTTCCAAGTCCTCAAAGCATCCCACATATATCATCTATGCCTTAAAACCACCTTTACTGCTCAGGAGATGATGGTTTTGATGAAGCTAAGAAATAGCAGCTTGCTTATGACCACTTAGTGAATGCATGGCTGAGCTGAGAGCTGTTTTAGTTAGGAACACAGGAAACTGCCGAATATTAAGTTAGTCCCCTGGTCTATCAAGCTCAGCAAGGGCTGGAAGTGGCTCTCCAGGATTTCAGAGAAAAGTGGCTCCAAGACCTGAAACAGAATGGACTTTGGAGTGAAAAGATACCTGACTGGTGTGGTACTGAAACAGAATGATTGCTGTGTGGAATCACAGGCAAGACATATCTTCATGTCCTAACAATTTTTCCACAAGGAAAAAAATATAATTAAGTGGTAATAAAAATGTGGTATGTGTCCCCCCATGCTGGGGATTGAACCTGGAACCTTCTGCATGCAAAGCAGATGCTCTACCACCAAGCTACAGCACTTGTTGTTATTTAATTAATTGGTTAGCCATCTAATACCAGTCATCTTTGGGCAACCTACAGCAAATTTAAAGCATGCACAAGCTTTCAGAAACAGCCACAAGCGATCAACACCACAGCATTGAGCCAGAAATCTCTCTGCTCACCCCTCATTCTATCAAATTCATTTTATTTTTATTACTGTATTTATATCTGCCTCTTTTCACTAAGGACTTTAAGGCGGCATGCAGTGCTGTCCATATGATCCAGACCACAAACCTGGAAGACAGCCTAGGCTAGTATCTGGTGGCTGGTCCATGATCCCCTCCAGTGAACTTCAAGGGTGAGTGGGGATTTGAACCCTGGTCTCCCAGGTCCTAGACTGACACTCTAACCACTGCTCTACACTGGCTCCAGGGGGCAGCAGGTGCCTCATTTCCTGTGCTATTGAGGCACCTCACAGACCAGAGGAGCTACTGCCCAGCTGTTTCCTGTCCTGCAGCGCCACCCATATAATGGCCAGAGATGGTACTGCAGCCCATCATCCCAGCCAGACCAGGTGACCTGATGGGCCTGGCTAGCTCTGTAAGAGTGTTGTTTCAAGCTTGGTTGCTCCATCTGAGCAGCTCGTCCCACTGAGTAATGACCCAGACAGCCAAGCCTGACCTGCTAGGTCCAAAACCTGATAGCAGGCCTGTATTCAGACATGCCACCTGCCTACTGACCACGATCCCTTCCTTCTGATTCATGCAGGTATATACTGCCAGACACAGCCTTTGGCGTATAGCAAGGGACTGTGAGACCTAGGTAGGATGCAGAATGGCCTTGGGGCACAGATGGTCAGTCCTTCCTATTGAAGGCTGTGGCTCAGGAAGAGAGAGGAGAATACTGGAAGTAAACCACTGGCTGTGCGGGTGGTGTTGTCAGGAATGTTTTGGCTTCTTGGACCATGGTCTCCTTGAGGAAGGGCTTCTGGCAAGAGATGGGCTGCACCTCACAGTGACTGGTGTGATGGCCTAGGACTCGGGCTCAGGTTCAGAACCAGAGGAGTCTGAGTCTGCACAGGATCCTTTGCCTCAGGCATCATCTGAACAAAGTCTGGGGCCTGATCCTGAAGAGTCCCAGTCTGCACAGGTGCCCCTGCAACAAGCACCAGCTGGGCCAAGTCAGGGGCCTGAGCCTGCCCTGGCTCCAGATGCGGGGATTACCTCGTTGCCTTCAGCTGGGCCATCACTTACAGCTGCCCCACTACTGGTTGGGTCAGGGGAGGCTGAGGCGGCCCCTGGGTCTAGTAATCCATCGATGTCTCCCGAACTACAGAGACTTAGGTCTGAGAGAAGGAGAGACCTGAGTACTCGCAGGAGGAGTGCTCGCCTTTGGGAGAAACAGGGAGGTGAGTTGCCAGGGAATCAGGACCGGCCGTTACCCCGACAAAGATAAAAGGTTGTCGGACCCTGCCCCGGGTTGCGGGAGCAACATTGCTGTATGCCAGATCCTGTACCTGTCGGACTGACTTCTAATGGAACCTTCGGATTCTGGACCGGTCCTGGACCACATTTCATAGGTTATCCCTGGGCCCAGCACAGTTGGCAAGAATATGTCAAGAGTCTCATGAAGCTGATCAGGAGAGCTTTAAACTAGATCTTCAGGAGGAGCAGGGTTGCCATATTTCAAAAAGTAAAAACAAGGACACCTCGAAAGTTTTTTTAGGAAGACCCCAAAATCGTCGAGGTTTCTTTTACAAAAGCGTCACAGAAACATGATTTTTCAATTGACTTGCCTAAGATTCAGGACAAAGGACTGCCTTTCGGAAATCCCACAGCCCCCAGACATCAATTCCACCTTTGAATTCCCAGTAATGTCCGGGAGAATCCAGACATATGGCGGCACTAAAGGGGTGGAAGACAACATTATAGGTGACCAAAGAACACCCGGTACTGGTATTCAGAAGTGTACTGCCTCCAACAATGGAGGGAGATCATAGCCAATGTGCTTTCATTCCAGCTGGGATCAGGTGACCTGAGGAACCAGTAAAAAGAGCCCTACATGGCCTGATAAAATTGCTGACTCCCTTGTTTGTTCCCGAATCTAAGCTGCTCCCATTCTATATGAGGCCTTCCTGGATGACGTTCCCGGCAGCCCTGAGATTTGGAAAACTCCCAAGCTTGCAGAACACATTAAGAAGGAAGAGGTCTAAGGAAACCCAGGTCTTCTTAGCTGCAGCAATACAGAGGGTGTGTGTGTGTGTTACAGTTGAAAATAGCATTCTTTGACTAAAGGAATGTTTATATCAGTCATATGCTTGTGGTTTGCACAGTAAGCTGGGCGATGACAAGAGCAATGAGCAGCTTAGACACAATGCTTGACCTAAATACATTATGCAGTCTTTGCTTGCTTCTTAAGTAGGTCAGAATGGGCTCTTAAAAGAGATTCAAAACTTACTGCCGCTGCACCAAAGGGGCTGTCGCATAACACAACTTTGGACATTGACGTGACGCAAAAGGGAAAGGGAGCGCCGTTTCAGTGCGCTTCCCGTTCCAAAGCATCTCTGACTCATGCGGAAGAGGAACTCAATCTGAGTCAGATCATTGCACAGGTCTTCGGACACTGCTCATGTGCTGGGGGTAGCCAGTTCCCATCCCCTGTCAAGACACAGCAGTCCACTACGAGAATAAAGGGGCTATTATAGAGCTAATCAAAGAGTGGTCATATTTACTTCTGAAAGTCACGAGAGGGCATGCACTTGAGATGGGCAGCAAAGCAACAGCTATCCACCGAGACTCTTTCCCCCATGTTCAATTCCCCCCACCGCCTAGGTAAAGGGACCCCTGACCATTAGGTCCAGTCATGGCCGACTCTGGGGTTGTGGCAACTCATCTCGCTTTATTGGCCGAGGGAACCGGCGTACAGCTTCCGGGTCATGGCGAACCAGAGCAGCGCACAGAAACGCCGTTTACCTTCCCGCTGGAGCGGTACCTATTTATCTACTTGCACTTTGATGTGCTTTCAAACTGCTAGGTTGGCAGAAACAGGGACCGAGCAATGGGAGCTCACCCCGTTGCGTGGATTCAAACTGCCGACCTTCTGATTGGCAAGTCCTAGGCTCTGTGGTTTAAGCCAAAGCACCACTCGCGTCACTTCCCCACCGCCTAACGCACTGCAAATCCCCATAACTCCCTTTCTCAGGATCCCTGCCCTACAGTCTCCTGACACCCTGTCAAATTGCACCCGACGCCCATCACACTGCGCAGAGAGACAAAATAAAGCCAGCCAGCCAGCAACTTTAAGGCCTGTGTCGTTTTGCATATTGACAGCAACGGGGGGGGGCAGAATCCGTACGGATCAGCTCCTTCTACCTCCCCTTTATTGCTTTGTTATTTCATCATTATTCACTGCAGTTCCTTCTCCTCTCCGCCCCCCACCCTCCACCTTCCATTTGCAGAGTTTGGGTTTTAATGTAATGGCCGTTCCATAAAAATGTTGTTTTTTAAAAGGTTTGCATATCATCCCATTTTCTTTTTCAACCCTTCAGTTACCATATGGCAAGCAATCAGGTCTGCAATCACGAGGTCCATATTATGTAGCGCATGATTTCGGCATTATGCTATTACCCATCTGTTTCTCTAGAGAAAGACATGAACTTGTAAGAGAGGTCAGTGGTTTCATTGCACACCGTATTCCAGAAATCTATCTCTGTTCACTTGAGATCACTTTTGTGATTTACTCTAGTCTCCAGGCCAGGAGTTCTCTTTTATTTATTTCTCTCTCTCTCTCTCTCCCTATTTTTTTCAAAAAATAAAACAAAATACAGACAATCAGAGTAAATTTGTCGATCTGGCTGTTGTATGAAATTATTTCTGACCGTCAAGGCAGCCTTCTCCCACATAAGAAATAGCCTTCCAGGAACCTCCCAGGATTTCCCTTGTAGCAAAAGAGAAAAGGACAACCCCACTTAATTTAATTTGCTTAGCTTATTAGTGAACAAAGAAGCATGAGGTTATACCTCCGGTGCTAATCAATTTACAATCAGGTAGGAACAGTCTTTTCATTCATAAAACGAGCATTAATGAAAGTGGCATTTGTTTTCTCTCGCCACCAGTAAACTTTGGACATATGCCTTGCAAATCGCAATCATTTTCTTGAGATTTATACCTGGAAGGGTAGCAGCGGGCTGGGGAAAGCCACACAGAAGGATGGTTTCTGAGACTACATTGCATCCTATTTGCATAAGTTGCTTTAAACTGAGTCAGCTTAGTATTGCCTGCAATGATTGGCAGTGGCTGTCCAGGGTTTCAGGAATGGCTCCCTCCCTGGAAATGCCAGGAATGAAACCTGAGGCCTTCTGCATGCCAAGCAGGTGTTCCATTACTGAGCTACAGCCCTTCCCTTTAGAGTGGGGTTTCTTAGGCTGACGAAAGGGACAAATTCTCAAGCGGGGATAGCTAATCTATGTCCCTCCCGGTGCTGTTGGACTCCAGTTCCCATCACCCCCAGCCAGCATGACATTGTTCCAAGGATGATGGGAAGAGTAGTCGTCCCACAAATTCCGAAGAGGTTCCACACCCCAGTTCCAAAATGAGGTGGAATTGGTTCATTTGAACACACATCCAACACATATTTTCAATGCCTTCCCCACTGCCCTCAGGGCAGAGAATTTGTGTTCCCAAAAGAGTCAATGGGATCTTCTGGTTATATTGGCAGAAGGAATTCGAGTGCAAAAGAGGTGGCCAAAAATTCTTCCTTTCTCACATTTCCAGGACAGGGTTTGATTTTTAGGGTTTATTTTCCACCAGCAGGAAAAAATGGGAGGAAGCAACCCCATGCTCTTGAAAATTATGTTCAGACCTGACATTGGCCTCCACAGTCACTTATGGACTCATTGTGAAAACCATGTTTATGGAAGACAATCTTACTCGGCTACGAGTGATCGCCAATGAAGAAGATGATGTTGGAATAATCCTATCACTGACCAAGAGTCAGGAGGTCAACCAAACCAAACCAAGCACCTTGTCTGTATTCT